GTTGAAATCTTTTCTTAAAGCCTTTGGTAAACAACCAATATTGGTGTTATCTGACGAAGACCCAGCGATGAAAAACGTTATAGCCAAGGTTTTCCCAGATTCAATTCATAGGTTGCGTATGTGGCACATCACTTCCAAATTACCATTGAAGGTTACAAGCTATTATTAAATAAGCTTTCAGTCAACATTGCATTCATTATGAATCATTGTTACTTATATTATGAAAAGAACCATTGATAGTACTTTTATATCTCTAACATATATTTCTACATTGAGTAATTGTATTTAATGTTATTATACATTCAATAATATTACCTTTATATATTCTTGACTGATTCAATGATTGTGATTTTTAACACTTTGCACATGTTCTCATTCTAAGGTATCATTGGATATTGTCAACGACGAGGAATTCAAGTTACAGTTCAACTCCTTGATTTGGAATTCTAAGCTTGAAGAGAAAGATTTCGAACAGGGATGGCAAACACTATTGGATGAACATGATCTTAACGACAATACTTGGTTAAGGAGAATGTATAACTTGAGACATTCATGGATTCCTGCCTTTTTCAAAAGAGTCCCTATGTCAGGTCTCATGAGAACAACATCTCGTATTCTATTCTCGTATCCTATTTCTTTGTAATTTGTATTTCAAATAGCATACACCTAATCGAATACGGTTACTTTGATATCATGTATCTTATTTCCCACTAAGATATCAAACTAATTATATCATGTATCCTATTTCCCATTAGTATATCAAACTAATTATATCCGTGTATTATATATGGTGTTTCCTATTTGTTATTTTCTAGTAGTGATTTATATTTAATTGTTAATGATTTTTGGAAAATTAACCTCTGAACATATTTTTCCTTATAGAAACCAACCAAAAAATTAAACTCGAACATATTTTTCCCTATAGAAACCAAGCAAGTAGGGCCAAAATATATAATCTAGCTACCCTGGCTAGTCATACTGGCTTCTTGTTTATACCTTTCATAGTTCGATAACCTCGATGCTTCTTTACAGTTGTTACAATCAACAATTAAAAAAGTTAAACCTTTTTTAGATTATAAAGACGCAAGAAATCATAGAACAGCGTACTTTAAGAACTTCTACCACAAATTTTCTTAAAATTATGGCTTTGTTCATTGTGAAACGAGTTCTCTTTTCAACTTTTATCACCATGGCCATCAATGAGCTCGTTCGAGCTAGCGATCCTGACATTCTATTTGACTACATTGTTCCGCCTCACGTGACAGTAGTTGATGGAAATTTCTTCACTTACACCAATTTCCGTGTTCTTTTTAACAGATCAATGGATCCTACAGCAATTCAAGCCAGCATGACGGAATTCCCGGCTCTAAATGGCCAGAGCGTTTCCCTTTCGGTGCTACGGTTATCCCCTGGAGGAGTGAGTCCACCACACACGAGACCCCATGCAACTGGCTTGTTTTTAGTGTTGGAGGGTGAATTCGAGGTTGGTTTTGTGGACACGACGAATAAGCTTTACACACAAACCCTACAAACTGGAGACATGTTCATATTTCCAAAGGGACTTGTTCATTACCAGTATAATGCTGATATGAAGAAGACAGCCATGGCTGTAGCTGCATTTGGTAGTGCAAGTACTGCTCTGGTTTCAGTTCCGTCAACTTTGTTCAAACCAGACGTTGATGATGTCGTTCTTGCCAAGACTTTTAGAACGGATGTAGCAACAATTCAAAAGCTTAGGGCTGCTTTTCGAGGAAAGGTTTAGGCCATCAAGTTCCATGGACGACCAACTCGAATTCAATTTGTTTCTTTTTTAAATCTTTTATGGAGGGAATTAATAATGCTTTTCGCAAACCAAAGCTTGCATTTAACCATTTTTTATTGCTAAATTAAATATGTAACCATTCGTTATCATTTAGTTATTAATTATGTTAGAAAATTCGTACATCATGAACTTTTTATCATAATTTTGTTAAGGAAAATGACTTACGATGGTAACTACATTTTCGTTTTGTTTACGTTTAAGTAATTAGTTCATTTATACATTTGATCATTTAACTTGTTAAATGTGTTCACATATTACCGTTGTCACATGCTATAACAGATGACAATGATAATATGTAAACATATTTAACAAGTTAAATAAATAGTCAAATGTGTACAAAAAAAAAAGTTGTCTAAATGTGAATAATTTTTTTTTTACAAATTTCTTAAGATTTTTTATATTTTCTTACAACATTTTTATGATATTTTTTTCTATTGGTTTTTCTTATATAATGTTTTAAACTTTGCTTATAACTTTTTTTTAGAACCTTTGTTATACTTTCATATATTTTTAATACAAGTGCTTTTAAACCAAATATTTTATAAATGTTTTAAATTTTTTTTACAAGTTTTTAACTTGTTTTTTTTATATTTTCATACAATTTTTTTATAACTTTTACAAATTTGTTTCTAATTTTTTTACATCATTTTTAAAGTGTTTTACAGATTTTGTATGACAATTTAATATTTTTTTATAACATTTTAAAATACTTTCGTTAAATACTAGTTTAAAACGTTGTATTAAAAAAATTAAAAGTTTATAAACTTCTAACTAAAAATTAATAAAAAGTTGGAATATTTTTAAAACATTTAAATTAAATAGATTTTTTTTTGTTTTTTTATTTTCTAAGTAATATTTTCTTTTTGTTTTTTTAAAAGACCCTCCATACTTATTGTTACATATTTAATTTATTTAATTTTAATGTTAGATACTATTTACTTTAAAAATATTATATATGCTTAAAAACAAAAGAAAAAGATTATAAGAGGTTATATAAAATATTTCATAAAACAAAAACATATTTAATTAAAAAGTAAAGTTTAAAATTGATAAATATTTAATTAATATTTAGGAAATTATGGATATTTTAAACATAACCTTTGAAAAAAATAATATAAACAAATATGAAAAATAAAATCGCTATTAAAAGTGGTGAAAATGACTTATCAGGGTAATTAACTTTTTGTTTTGTTCACATTTAGAAATTTCTTTTTTTATACACATTAACCATTTAACGTGTTAATTTGTTCACATATTACTATTGTCAACTGCTATTGCCGATGACAATAGCAATATGTGAACACATATAACAAATTAAATGGTCAAATGTGTACAAAAATAAAGAAGTTACCTAAATGTGAACAAAACGACAAAGATGATTATCATGGTAACTCATTTTCCCTTTTGTTAATTATGTTACATTCAGTTAGTTAGATAAAGTGGATGACTATCATTTTTTTCTTTTGAACCAAAAAAGAGAGTGTTATTATACATAATTCTCACTCACATAAATAGGGATGTCAACGGGGGCGAACGGGACAAGGATTGCATCCCCCGCCCCCACCCCACCTACGAAATTCCCCCGTTCCCCCACCCCGCCCCCAAATTCTCTAGCCTCCCAACCCTCGCCCCCGCCCCCGAATCCCAGGATTACCCCACCCCCTTCCTTGT